TCTCTTTCTAAGCCCTGACAGATAAAGAGCAGTAGATCGTTCTTACTCTCTGCTGCATATGAGCTGAAGAGCGTCGACGTGTCCGTGGAAAGCAGCCAGCAGGGTGGGGGTCATGCCGTCATCGTCCGCTGTGTTCAGGTGCTTCCTCGTGGCCTCTTTCAAGAGGTCCAAGTTGCCATCAATCGCTGCTTTGTGGTACCTCGACATCTTTAAAAAGAGGTTTGAAATTTAAATCTGCTGTGTCTTTTGTCTCTTCACTCGTGTCAGAGGAGTGAGAGCGACGGGAAACCAGAGCAAACTGTGATCACTGGGCGTGTGAGCAGCTCAGTCATAAAACAGAAGCAAAGTCCAGCTCTCTGCCGGTCAGCAGCTACAACTCATCACTATGAGCACACAGAGTCATCCAGAGATCTGTCCTTAAGCTGTTGTTTTAAGAATGAAAAGGTGGATCGTTAAGAAGGTTATGTAGGTTTGTTGTCAAACTACCAGTGGGTTTCTGCTCTGGAGTTTTTATTTCCTGCTTTCTGTTCAGGTTTTTATTAGAACCTCAGTGTTTGTACCTTCTGCTTATTATCCAAGACAATGTCTAAACTCCTTTTGTTTGTTTTTCCTTCAGACCTTCAGAGATGTAGGTTATGAGAACTTCTAAGTCATATTTTGAGATCATACTTTAAAATTATGACTTCAATATGATGCATGAATGGAACAAAAACAATTCTGTTTTGTTGTTCTTGCTAATTTCACATAATTCATACAATATACTGCTACCAAAAATTTTAGCACACATTCCCCATCAATTCTCACATTTTGGTGCATTTTTTTGTAATAAAATAATAATAATAATAATAATAATAAAAAAAGCTGTGACATGAATCATAAACTCAAAATCAGAGAGGAAACAAACAAACAAACAAACAAAAAAAAAAACAATATTAAAGGTGCTTTAATGCTCTGTCACCAATTATCTACTTTTAGCTAGCTTTTGGCTTTTAGCTATTCATTTAGCTTTTGGCTAGCCTTTTGCTATATTTAGCTATTTGCTTTCCATTTGCTATGTTTGACTTTTAGCTAGCCTTTTGCTACTTTTAGCCATTGTTTTGCATTTTTAACATTTTAGCAAGTGTTTTATTTCGTTAACTTATAGCTATTGTTCAGTTTCTTTTAGCTTTTAACTAGCGTTTTGATATCTTTATTCATTTATCTTCTAGCTATTGTTCTCCCATTTTTAGCTTTTCTGCCTCTTCTAGCTTTTAGCCATTTGTTCTGCATTTTTAGCTTTAACAGTTTAGTTTAATCTTCCAGCAAACCTCAGCAAACATTTCTCACTCAGCATTCACAGTATTTAATGAAAAATATACAGTATGCGTTGAAATTAGTTGTTCATTGAAAGAAAAAGCTTTCCAGTTAAATAGACAAAAGACAAAAAGTAACATAAACCACATTCTCTTTGTAACTTGAATCAACCAAAGTATATTTCTGTTTATAAAGTACTCTGCTAACAAAAGAAAAGAAAGATTTGTTTGCACCGGTTAGATAAAATCACATTTTTATGCATCATCTAAAAACAGATTGGCTCCTACATGTAAGAGACTAAGTGTGTTCTTCATTACCTCATTAAAGGAACACCTTTTTGTAGTTTCACTTATGATTTTTTTATTTTAAGAGACTTTTGGCAACACCAAGTGTATTGAGCTCCTTAATAATAAAAGCTGGAGATGATTGAAGAACCAGGAGCTGAACGAGCTGTAGTTCTGCTGTTGAGTTCTTCTCTTGTCCATTAGGTGGCAGAGGTCATTATCCATCCATCCATCCATCCATCCATCCATCCATCCATCCATCCATCCATCCATCTGTTATCTTTGACTGATTCTTATTTACCAGGTTGCAGTGGTCACTGGTGCCCATGTCACTTGCTAATGAAACACACACACACCCACACACACCATCATCATCACTCTGATATATTTCATTGTTCCACAATCCAATCAGTAAAATAATCATTAAAGACATTAAAGCAAAGAGGCAGACCTCAAACAATCAGGCGTTTGACTCCTGTTCATCATAGGCTCTGCCACTCAGGCTGCAGGCCCAGGTTTATTCAAACTCTCATCAATAACCATCAATTGATGAGATTTACTATGGTACTCGTATTGATACCTGCCATACAAATGCTAAACAAAAGTGGAAAACATTGGCAGACATATTAGAACAAGATTACTGTATTTATTATTCAGCAGTAATTTATGTGTCAAACAGAAACATTGTGGCTTCTGTTTACATACAAATACACATCAGGATGAGTGGCAGCTTCATTCACCGGATGGAGCAGATGATTACAGATGCTCAGAGGCCGTAAACATTGAACTGAGATTCAGTTTACATTTTGCAGATTTGTGCGAAAAAGAAGCTGCTGTCTTTTGTTAGGAAAATATACAAGTGGGCGAAAACACTCATGGATTGTGGTGTTAGTTTTCAGGAAGAAGTCCATCACAGCTGTCAACAAGCTCAGCAAACTCAGGATTAAACATCTGGATACACGAAGACAAATGTAAAAATATACAGTGCAGAAAGAACGAAGTCCTTGATCTTAAAAATAACATAAGAATGATAGGGTGGCACGGTGGATCAGTTGGTAGAGCTGTTGCCTCTCAGTGAGAAGGTCGCTGGTTTGAGTCCCAGCCGGGGGCCTTTCTGGGTGAAGTTTGCACGTTTTCTCTGTGCATGTGTGAGTTTTCCCTGGGTACTCTGGTTTCCTCCCACAGACCAAAAACATGCATGTTAGGCTGACTGGTTTGTCTCTATGTGTCCTTGGGATGGACTGGAGACCTGTCCAGGGTGTCCCCCGCTTCTCACTCAGTGATGGCTGGATATGAGCACCAGTGACCCACACGACCAGAAAAGGAAGAAGCGAGTAAAGATAACGGATGGATGGATAATTAGAATAAGAATAATATTCTCCTGGATTTATGTCGTTCACCTTTCATGAAATTGTTATGTTTGGTCATATTAACTCAACTCATACTGGTACTCATGTTTATATATATATATATATATATATATATATATATATCTGGGATGAATTATTTTGTGTGTACCTCATTTATGGTTTTTGTTTAAAACCGGTCTCTCTTGTAAACGAATCCTCATGACTCAGTGAGACTAATATGTATAAATAAAGGTTAAATGAATGAATTGTGGCTATTTCAAGGAACATTCTTGATTTCATGTTATATTTGTGAAGTTGCCAAGAAGTTGCTTTCACATAAAACGTTAAGATTTTTCAAGCATCAAGACGCAGATAGAAACATTTCAGCTTTAATATATTTAAATAAAGTACACTATACTGATGCCAGCAAGGTAATTCAGTAATTTTTGGAATACAGTATTCTGCGCAAAGAGCTGACGGTTGAGTATGATATGAGGTAATGTTTTATTTTTCAGCAATACTCCTAAAAGTAAAATAAAACAAAGTTTCTCTTCCAGGCTGGAGACTGGACTAGATTTCATTTAACATTTTTAATTCAAAATATGTCATGTGTTTTAAAAGTCTCTTGCTACAAAAACAGCTAAATCTTGCATTATCCACTTCCTGCCAACCAATGGTGGAATCACGGAATGAACTACTGAAGGGGCTAAAAAAAATAAAAAAAATAAAAGTTTTGTTACGGCGATATTCTTTAGCTAAATTTAAAATAATTGAGCCAGTCAAGTTTACATAGGAGTGAGAATGTCCATTTCCAACTTTATCTAATGTCAGTAATGGGGCAGGGATGCTCAAAACATTAAAAGCCAAACATGTTTAATTTGTAAATATCCCATTAAAAAGAAAATGTTCACAAGTTTTAAACTCGTTACCATGTTTTTATTGTTCTAATAGTTTCCTTGAAGATGCTTAAGGAATGTTAGAGTTAAGCAATGAGCCACAAGAAAAAAAAAAAAGGCATTCTGAAGTACGGAGATGCAATTTAACATTCTGTCCACACGAGGGCGCACAACTCCAGTAGTTTGAAGCTGATGGCTGGAAAACATGACGCCTTCAAGAACGCCTCGTATTTTTATTTTTTACTTAATGTTTGATTACAAAAAAAACAAAACTGCAATTACAAGGCAATTTTACTTTATGCGTACAATCCCAACTAAAAAGGTCAAACATTTTAAAAGTTCAACCTACAATGTATGCACACTGAAACATCCTTATTGCAAATTCGGGTGACTAAAAACAAATTGAGTTACGCTATTAAACATTTTGTGAACTTTATGCCAGTGCAAACGTCTCACGTTTTTTGGGGTTCATTTTTCTCTAGTTTGAGTTTACATTTTTCATCCCTATGCATCATTTATGTTTAGATTTACCTTAAAAGCAAACCTTAAAAAAAAATAAAATAAAAAAAAAACCTCAAATAGGACAAGTCGGGTTATTTTGCAGTTTACGTTTAAAGGAAACAAATGACACACCAAGTTTAAAATTATGGTGCGCTTTATTCCCACGTAACAGTGAGGCTCGTGCGACGTCACGGTGGATGAAAAAGACGCGCTCAGCTGTGGAGCAGCAGAGAGGAGAGGGGGAGAGCAGGAGGCAGCATCACCCAGAGGGACCGGACCAGAAAGTTGGATTTGTTATCATTTCTCAGTCATGGCTGAGCATCTTCTACATTACAACGACTCTGCGGGCTTTGGAAACAGATTCGCCCGCAAAGGTGCCCTGCGACAGAAGAACGTGCACGAAGTGAAAAATCACAAGTTTACCGCCAGGTTTTTTAAGCAGCCGACCTTCTGCAGCCATTGCACGGATTTTATATGGTGAGTTACCTTCTTTAAAAAAAAAAAAATAAAAAATAATAGTTTGAGTTGAAGAGCTTCATCCAAATTTAAGACTGGATTTTTGTTGCAGGGGGTTTGGAAAACAAGGATTTCAATGCCAAGGTGAGACACTTTCATTATCCTTCAGTGAAACCAGAAAGATGCACCTGGTTTTGGAATAAAGCTCAACACAAAACTTGTAGCATTGGAATCAAATTAAAAATTTATTATAAATTTAAAAGTGTTTCTTTCAGTCATCTTCCTGGAGGCAGGTCATTCTGCAAACAAAGCAGGAATTACAGTAAAAATGAAACCAGGCAGTTTGTCCATTAAGCATTTTAATCAACTCATACCTTGAAGTCTTTCCTAAAGTTTCCATGAGGTTATGGGTTCTCGCACCAGTAGTCTTGAGTTCTGTGCAGGTTTTCTGAAGGGGGTTAGACTCAGGGGGTATTTCTTTTGAGTTTCAGATTTTGGAGTGTATTTTTGTGGCTTTCCAAATCCTGGGATGTAAGTGGTTTTGGACTGCAGAAACCGCCTTCGTTGGTAGCCACTTTTAGAGCGAACATAGCTTTTGCGACGTGGGTGACGACTGGATGGTCGGATGACTCTTTGGGGAAAGTGCAGTTGAGGAACCCAGTAGTTTTGTGTGTTGGTCATAAAGTTTTGTGGTTTAAAAGCCATTTGACCATAATATAGGTTGTCATTTCCAAAGCCAGAGAAAGGGAAGCCCATCCAATCTCTGTAAGACAGACCACCCACTGGACCTAGAAATGAGGGTTTCCACAATGGAAGAGCATAACCAATTGAACCGTCGATGCCGTTTCCCTGGCTGTAACGCTCTGCGTTTCGAAGAGGTGGAGAACTCTGAGGTTTAACATAAACACTGGGATATTCGTGAGACTCTTGTTCGAGAACGGGGTTGTATTTAGGCCGAGTTCCACCGAATCCCATCACGTTCGAGCCTGAAGACAGGGGCTCTTCAAATTTCTCTTGAGGTCTCTCAAAAACAGGCTTGCCTCCTGGACTGGAAACTGTGTAGAGCAGCTGGTTCAGGGAACCAAAAGGAGACTCCTTAACCACAGGACTTGCAGGTGGAGACTGAAAACTCGGCGATGAGGCAGCAACGTACAGAGCAGGCTTGGCCATAAGGTTTTTGTTTTCAAAACTACTTTCAACAAGGCTTGGCACAGCAGGCTTTTTGACCAGAAAAGTAGGAAGTGGCGCCGACTGAGGCTGGTTTAAAGTTGGCCTTTGCCGTTCTGGTCCCACTTTTGGGTACGATGCAATTAGAGGAAATCTGATTGGTTCAAGGAGGTTTGATTCCCATTCTCTTGCTTCACCATTAACGATTTTCTCTACCTCCTCACCACTGGGAGCATTACCTGGCGTTTGGCGAGCTGGGATCAGATTTGGCAGCTGTGCCACTGAAGGCTGGATGTAGTTTGGGGGGAGCAAACCAGCAAACTTGTCAGCCCAATCTTTCTCACCCTGATAAGAAAATATGGAGTTGGAATCTCCAGTTTTAAGGTTTTTGTTGTCTAAAGAGACTCGGAAGTCCCCTTCTGTAAAATAAAGTTCATACGCATTTAATACGCAGCAAGAACAGTTGAACTATTTTCCTAGAATAATATTTACCTCGCACAGTTGAAAGAACACCATCACCCAGCAGCAAAACCATATAAGAAACCCTGGAAAATAAACAGATAAAGTTAAGCGTTTTTCCCCCCCTTTTCAGAAATTAATGGCTCATCATTTCAAAAACACATACCACAAAATGAATCCAGCAGCCATGACTAGTAACTGAGAAGCAACACCCAATGCTTCTCAGACACTAAAACTGGACTGAAAGGTCACCTCTGCCCCGTGGCGTCCAGCTTCACCACTCTTATTTTATATTTGTGCAGTCGTTACTAACGAGGAGCACCAGCCGCTGCTGCAGGTAGAGCAATCAGGCTTCACTGTTTACAGGTGTGGCCTCTGAGAAACACCCAGTGAGTGCTCAGACTCTCAACACACATCAGTTTGTAAAATAGTCATTCAGATAGCTGACCGGACATTTTACTAGAACTGCAACAAACATGATTCAGAATACAAATGATGGGATTGACAGTGATATTTTCATGGACACCAGCACATATAGGGATCAGAGGGAATGAAGCAGCAGACAGGGCAGCAAAAGCAGCGATAAAAGATCAAATCAATTTTACAATATCCATCAGTACATCAGAAGTAAGAACCGTATGAAACAAAAACTAAAGGAAAAATGGCAAAAACAGTGGGAAGAAGAGCACGAAGGAAGATGGTACTACAGAATTCAGAGACAAGTGGGAGAAATGAGAACAGGAGGGAGGAACAGAAGAGAAGAAAGACTAATAACCAGATTAAGATTTGGACATACCGGACTTAACATACTACACAAGATTCAGAAACTTGATGCAGGACAATGTGAGCACTGTGGACAGGAGGAAACAATAGAACATGTCGTTTTGGTGTGTCAGAAATATGAACATCACAGAAGGCGTATGATAGAACAATTAGGGAAAATCAAAGGAACATTTAGTACAATAAATATATTACAAAAGGAAATAAGAAGTAAAAGTATTCAAATTATTATACGATTTTTTTTAGAAACACAATATTAGAAAAGACAATATGAACAGGATTGCAGCCATTTTGATCCACACTCCACACCAGTAGGTGGCGGTAAAATGCACACCACCGCCATTAAACTCCATTAAGAAGAAGAAGAAGAAGAAGAAGAAGAAGAACACCCAGTGAGCCAGTGTAGGTTTTCTCCAGTACAGTTCCAGAGACTTGGCTTTAAAACGCCTGCTCACACAGATGGAGCATCTGTTTTTAATTTAACCAACATGTTTTGCATAAACAGGGTGCAACAAGTTCCTCCAAAAAAGCTAACTCAGCTGAATGTCCTGGATTCCAAACTTTCAGTTTATGATTTATGTAAAAAACAAATTACAAATGTTTAGGATTATTATAGCAATCAAATATATCTAATTGTTGGGCTAGCATTCCTTAAACAGCTCTTGTAAATGAGTCCCAGAGGCTCAACGAGACTAACCCGTCTAAATAAAGGTTGAATGAAGGGAATGCATGTCGCCCTCTGCCAGAGTTTTGAACCAAGCTCCCGTTATTAAATCACAAAGAGTCGTAGCTGCTTTAGTCAAGCCTTGAAAATGATATCTTCAGTCTCATGAGATGTGAGACGTCAAGCTCCGAGTATGAGTTGTGATTGCCTCTCAGAAACTACCACACCCAATTTTAGCTCCACGTCTTCAAAACTGACCGAGTTATATCCATTTTGTGTTTTCTAATGACAGCTAGCTGTGGTGGCCATCTTGGATCGGATTTACAACAGTGGTACATCCAATAATTGTTTCCTGGAAGTTTCATTACAATCCAGTCAGTGAGTGATGAGATGTTTTGCTAACAGACAGGCAGAGTTGACGTCAAACAGATAAAAGTAAAATTCTCTATAAAGTTCTTGTTCAGGCTGTTAACGCTCAGAATATGTTCTGCACCAAAGTTTCCACGTCTGTGGCCTCGCGCCTGACTGCAGGGTCCAGTGCCAGCCTCTGTTTACAATCTGAATGACCCGTCAGCCGTGCACGCTCTGCGTCTCTCACACAAGTGGTTCTTGGACGCTTTTGTGAATTCTTCTGTGAATATTACACACTTCTGTGCACAGTCGATCACCTTCATTATGTGTGTGCAGAATAGAAAGAGAGGAAAAGTGTTTATTCTGAAAGGTCTTTTTGGAACACGTCTGACAGATTCCTGCTCTTGGTTGTTCTTAGATCTTTTTACCGTTTTGTTTGCATGAAAGGTAAGACATAAGACACAAGAAGACTTTAAGTCTCCTTTCTATTATTTCACATCACGTAGTAAGTAAAGGCCTTTCATCTCTTGAAGGAAACCCACCACCTTTCATGCCACAGTTTAAGGCTAGGATCATGTTTTGCTGAGAAGCTGCAGCTTTTCTGGTCAAACCTTGTAAATTATGTTTCACACCATCTCATGTGATTTTATGGAATCTCGTGAGATGTGTTAACACTCTGAGAATGTGATGAGGATGACTCTCAGCTACTGCCACTTTCTAAATTTAGCTCAGTGTCTGTCGAACTGAGTTATATTCATTTTTGTGTTGACTGAGGTCCACATATACATGTATATGGATGCCTAGATGTGTGTATATGTATATATATATATATATATATATATATATATATATATATATATATATATATATATATATATATATATATATATATAGGCTAATCATGAATGTAGTACCACCTTGTACATGTGCATATTATCTTTTTCCAAATTTGTGTATTCTGCTTCTTTTTTTGATTATATTTCAGATGAGTTTTTATTTTTTCCACAATTATCAAATGCTGCTGGATGCCTCAAATTTCCCCTTGGGATTAATAAAGTACATTAGTCCCTAGTTTATCGCTGGGGTTACGTTCCAGGACCCCCCGGCAACAAGTGAAAATCCACCAAGTAGAAATGACATCGATTTCTGAGTTGAAACAAAAAACTAAAACAGTTCAGTCAACTAACACATTGAAATCATGTAAACTAAAGCAAAAGTTTATTAATCAAGATGAGCTCTGCAGCTCGGTTCTGGTCTCGGCTCAGTTCAGGTTTGGCAGACCTATCCAGCCGTGGTCCAGTTCTGGTCCGGTTCTTATCTGCGTGCCGAAGTCACTATGAAAGAGAGGACCAAACTTTGTCGTATCGGATCAAAACTTCCCCCCTTTTCAGCAGAAAGCAACTTTGCCTTTTGGGTAATGTAGTCCTTTAGACTGGTGATACAGTGTAGGCTTATTGAAAGAAAACTACAAGATGGCGGCGCTTTTTTTTTTTTGTCGTGTACAATCTTACAGTACTGTACTTTGAAAAATCACAAAAGAGCAAGTGACTGCTCTATCTATCTATCTATCTATCTATCTATCTATCTATCTATCTATCTATCTATCTATCTATCTATCTATCTATCTATCTATCTATCTATCTATCTATCTATCTATCTATCTATCTATCTATCTATCTATCTATCTATCTGTCTGTCTGTCTGTCTGTCTGTCTGTCTGTCTGTCTGTCTGTCTGTCTTTCCGTCCGTCCGTCCATGCGTTAACTAGTTGCACATGATTACTTTTATTATCCTCCACTGCCAAAGTGTGAAAATAACATTTGCATTAGTTGTTGAATGCCATAGAAAACGTAAAGGTGAGGACCTTGATTGTTATGAAACCCTAAAACTCTCAGCCGATTAATTTGTTTAAAGCACGCTGTGTGTCTGACGGTGAATGGAAGCAGGCACAGAGATGATTGGCGGAGCCCCCATAAAACTTGTTTATTTGATGCAGGAGTGTATAAATTAAATTCTAGTGTGTTAATAGTGACACTGACAGGTAATGGTGCACGTATGAGGCTCCCAGTGCTTCATGTGTGAGGGGAGGCAGATGAAAAAGACGATAAAGCGAGCGTCTGGCTTATATCGGTTTCATCGGCTGCCTCGAGCTTCTTGCTGAGAACTGAAAAGCCAAAGATCAGGGTTTTTTGTTCATACTCTCCTGTGTTTACCCACCTCTGTTGCTCAGCTGCAAGTCCAGACTGATGTTAAAGTAGGACTTTGTCGGAAGAAATTTCTTTATTACTGAAGGGAATTGTGTGGGTGTAGGATGGAGCGCATGCAGTTCCCCAGGCTGGGACTGCTCTGCTGTTTTGTTTTTACATGCAAAGATCGTTCTCCTTATTTAGGACTGTGGGACTCATTTTACAGAATTACAAATAATTATTTATTTGATGAGCGCAGCTCTCATGAAATATCTGTGCGTCTTTATATAGACTGTATAGGATGTGTAGTGTAGTTCACACCAGTATTTACTGACTGGTTGTGACATGCACGCCTGTGGTGAATCAGCACCAGTGACACATCCTGTCATATGGACACGCTGAGTTACAAACACTAATACTATTTACACTCAACTAACACGTCACCAACACCTCCCCTCTGCTCCTCTTGCTGCGCCCACATGTAGCTTTTTTAATTTCATTTTCATTCAAACTTGTTTTTTATGTGAGTCATCCAGTTATTGTGACAATACAGAACCACTTGTCGCTAAAGGTAATATCTGGGTCAGTACCTGAATATAAATGTTATGCAACGTTGCTTTAATTCAAAACTACAGGATCCCTGCTTTGTTTTCTCTACCAGAATTCCAAATCTGTAGCTGTATTCACGTAATCTGCTAGAATTTGTTGGTTACTATGAGCGCTCAGAAAAACTGAAGGCCTTGAATGCATATCGCCCACCAGCGTTTTAGACTAAAGTCATCTCCTGTTGAGACATGAGTTGTACTTTAAACACATTCTCATGTTTTTTTGCAATGTCTCGTTCACAGTATGTGTAGAGGATGACTCTCAGCTACTACCACAACACATTTTCAATATCTGTAGAACTTACTGAGCTACAGCGCCTTTTGGGTTGGCTACCGTCATAGCTGCACCACCCATCTTCAACTGGATTGACTTCACAAGTTAATCTGCAACATTCAAATCTGTCCAGTGGTTCATGACATATTTTGCTAACAGACAAACACGGTTAACTCCATCTGTTAATGGTTATAAGTAAAGATCTCGCTTATTGGCGAGGGCTCGGAGCAAGCCATGTGAATGACTCAGTTAAAAATGCACCAAATTTCAGCACAGTGTCTTTAACATTGACTATAAAGTCAGTTGAGTGTAGCGGCCATCTTGGATTGGGTTGGCTCTAGGCCTGTTACAATAACAAATTTTGCTGGGCAATTAATTGTCTCAGAAATTATTGCGATA